CTGAAAAATGAAGGAAAAATCTGGATTAAATTGGATTGAGTAAAGCTTTGGGTAAAATCACCAGTAGTTGAACAAACAGTAGAATCACATCCATCTGTAGTAATGACTGAGCCTGTCCCCCATTGTAGAATTTTGCAAAACTGTAAGCAAATAAAAGAAACTAGGCGAACACATCAGAAACTACTGCCAGTACTCATGTTGATAAATATATTTTAATTTATATTACTTCTAAGCACTAACACACACACACAAGCTTTGTTAAGTGATTAAATACAATAGTAATGAGCCTTGCTCTAAACCTAGGAAATGTCAGAAATATTAACTTTTACAGAAACTTGATGGTGTATTAAGTAATTAATAGTGCTGTATGTGGTGCAAGTAATTAATATTAAGAAATTAATATTAAGATTGTGGTTGCTCTGGTGTTTGGTACTTTTGAAAAATAGGGCCACTTAGGTTGTTATATATCAGGGGCAGGCAATTATTTTGGATGGAAGGCTGCTTACCAAGTTTTGGCAAGCTGTCAAGAGCCGCATGGGTAGCCCCGCCCCTTGACAGGTGCCCCACACCTTGGTTGCCATCTTTTGACTGGAAGTCCTGCCCCCTAATCCCTGACCTTTGCCATCAGAAGTCCCTCCTCTTGCCCCTGCAAGTACTCCTTTCAGCAAGGGGTTTAGCCATCTCAGAACCAGAAAAATACCAATTATATTCTAAAAATCGAACATCTACAACATTCATTAATTTAATTTAAAAAATATTTGTGTCCTGATTTACATGTGTTTGTGTAGTGTATACGGAGGTGAAGGGTGTGGGGGTTTTGTGGGGGAGGATAGGTGTGGGGGTGAATGTGGGGTGAGGGAGCATGTGGGTGTGTGTGTGTGTGGATATGTGGGGTGTGTGTGGGTATGGGGTTTGTGGGGGGTTGTGTGTGTGGGGGATGGTGGCTGGGTTGTGTGATGGGGTGTTGGTGTGGGGGTCTGCATGTATGGCAGTGTGAGGGAGGGATGGGTGCCTGTGTATGGTGGGATGCACGTGGGGATTCACCCTGCACCTGCACACGCACACACACTGTTCCTCTCACCCTGCATACACACACACCCACACACTGCCATATTTTGCCTGCCCCTGTTATATATGGATGTAGGAGTTCAATTTTTAGCTTTTAGGCACCAAAGTCTCTGCGGTACTGAGAACTCAAATGCCCATCAAAAGCAAAGCAAGCAGAGGTTGTGTTTAGTAACATATTTGCAGAATCAAAGGTACAAAAGACAAATTTAAATTTAAATCTCTGGAAGTAAACAGACATGGTAGGACCAAGCAGTGAATATGTCTAATGATTTTTTCACCTCTGGTGAGCTGTATTCATGTTCTAGATCTGTTTGGTTGGAAGGAGTAACCCTGACCCAGCAATACACTTTAACATGAGTGAAAGTCCCACTGATTTAAACAAAACTTAAGCATGTGCTTCAGTACTTTGCAAGGTAGACAATGTGTTGGGCCTACAGACAGCCCCCAGTTCAACAAAGTCTACATGTTATTTGGTCCGATGTAACTTGGAAGTGGTCCACACCTGGAACAATAATGCTATGGACAAGGACTCTACTTTGCTAAAAGAGCCCTAATTTTGGAAGCATGGGAGTGAGTGCTACGCAAATTCAACAGCTTTAACATATTTACTTCAAAATCACACAGAATTCAAGACAGCTACATCAAGTGCAAAGGGCAGATGTAAAGGATGAGGTCTTTGCTATCTAGTTCTATGGTTGAACTATACCAGCAAGTGAGGATGCAGCTTATACCAAGCTAACCATGTGATTGCTCCTACTCTGCCTTCCCAGTGAAATAAATTATAATAGCAAAAGGGCAGTTTTGCAGGCATGACTCTTTCTATTTGAACTAGGGTTTTTTGCTGGCACATCTACATATTCACCAGATCACATCTCATTCTTCCCCTATCCTGACCAATGTAGCCATGCTGGAGAAGGTTTGTAAGCATAGACATGGCCAAAAAAAATGCTAGATGCCTTACATTGTTAAAGCTGTCAGGTCTGTTTTAGCTCATTTAGGGCATTACAGTCCTGCAAATCAGTGCAGCAGCAGGCTGGGCTGCTGGGAGAAGCTGTAATATTTCCAAGGACTCTGAATAAACTAACAAGCAGAAGCTCTTGCTACCTTCTATATATAGATGCAGCCTGCATTCCCTTAATACAGAGCTGCTGATATTGCCAGTACACAGGGAGTGTCTCTTCAGTGAGTCAGTGAGTTCTGGTGCCAGCACTAGTCATCCACAACTCCTGTGCCTGCCAGTGGCTGCAGCCAAATTATGCCCGCTTCTTGTACATTTGCACGGAGGAGTGATGAGACTAGAGAATGGGCTCTCTGTGACTTCTCCTTTCCATTAGAACACCCACACAGGCCCAGCTACTGCTTGGCTCTTGGAATCTGAACTTCTCCAGATTTCCTGCTGTGCTGTAAAGGAGACTGTTTTCAACAGATTTACTTAAAAAAATGAACCATTTTGATTTTAAGTGTAAACATTTGTCCTCAAAGACCCCCAAAACCTCCAAAACCTGGTGGGTTTGTCTCCCAGGTGCATGTGTTTTGTGGTGGGAATACATTCTGCCGTTTTATTTGTGGTATCAATCTGCAAGAAAGTGTTTTGCCGGGATTAAAAGATGGTGGTTGTGGTCCAAAAAACCTGATCATTTGATGAAAAGAAAAAAAAAAATCAAAGGTTGGACTGTCTGGGATCCCCTATGAGTAATGTACCATGTAGATACACTACACTGCACTTTATATACTAAGACAGGGTCTGAAAACTGATTGGTTCACCTCATTATTTGTGCAGTTATCAATTAGTACTGCTATAAAAGGACAGTAAATTGAAAGAGGCTTCTGAATTAAAAGTAAACTTGAGCTGGACAAAAAGCCTTTTCAGTAGGGAACAACTGTAGCAGCAACCCATCCTCCCTCCTCCCCACAAAAAACCTTCATTGTAAATGCAGCACATTCCATCAAGTATCTGTAAAAGTTAATATTTTAAAGGATCAAGATTTTATCAATAGAAACTTTCAAAAGTCTCCCTGTATGTAAGTGGATAAGGCATAGGAGTGGATGTCAGGTCAAGCTGGGTTCAATCTCTGACTCTGCCACTGATCTGGTGTGTATGGCCAGGAAAGTCACTTCACATTTCTGTACCTCCTTGCCCCGAAATGTAAAATGGGAATCATTCTACTTACCTTCATTTGTAATGAGCTTTGAAATTTATGGGTGAGGAGAAATAGATGAGTTACAGGGTGCAGTTAAAGGAAGTGACTTGTTTTTCAGCCTGCCAAAATTTTTCCTTGATATCACAGGGCATAAAAATCATAGGTAGCTGTAACAACATGCAACAAATGAACGAATCTGTCATTTTACTAGGGAGTTACCAAATTTTACTCTAGATCAAGTGGACTGAAACGTTTTTGTAAGTGTCACAACATAAAGAGTATTACAGGTTTATTCCATCACTCCAGAGGACTTTTTTCAAATTCTGATGGGGGTTGGCAGAATAAGAAAAGAAAGCCATCTGGAAAAAGCATTGCAACTCCTCAGTATGGAGAAGTGTAATGCAAAGCAAGTTTGATCATTTTTAGCAGATAAAGCATCACTTCTAACCTTTCTTGGTTGCATAGCTGGTATAGCTAGCTAAAACATGGGAACAATTTCCACAAAAATACTATGGAAACTGTCCTTATTTTTTTCAAAATGTGTAAGTATGAAGTTTTTCTATTGGTTTAATAATTCAATCTTCTTTTGAAAGGCAAGTGACTAACAGATGGCAATATGCACTTCATATTACTGCAAAGAAAACCCTGTGCTAGGAGAAAGCAATAACTGACTTCAATCATTAATTGCTCCATTGTTAATGGTCACACTGGAATTCTGGATGCAAACATTTATTTTAAAATAAAAATATCTTAATTTTAAAAGTTTGCTTTTTAAGGGAAAATTGCCTTTGCTTTCTGGCTTACCTGAGGCAGAGTGCCTTTGACTAGTGCAGGAATATCAGCTTTAGAGTAACCAAGTGCAGTTAAGCCATCATCAACATTCAGATCAAACAAGAATTTCCGGAGTGTGCCTGCCAAAACAAGCCCTGCATCTTTGATTCTGGCAGTACGGATGTCAGCTCCTAAAATAAGACATAAAGCCTTGACTGTAGGATGCAGAGAATGGGGGAAACTGTTCTGGATTTAATTTAATCATAATATAAGCTGAATACATATCCATACATAACAGCCATCTCTCTGAAAGAAACACCAAGGAAAAAAGAGACATCACTGGCTTCAGTTTGCAGTTATAATAGTTTGTATAAATGGGATAAACCAGGTCAGGAGACAGGAGAAGCAAGAGAGTTTCATGTGGCAGTTAGCTTTTCTGGCAGCAGCTAACTTCCTTTCCCCGTGTGCTTGCATGGAGAAGCACTTTTCAGTCGGACTAACTGCTGGGAGCAGTGGCAGAAAAGTAGTAGAGCAGACTGGTGTCAGCGGATGACCATACTATTTATTTTTATGGACAATGTGCCATATGCTAATTTCTTCAGTGCCTGGGGTTTGCTGACATCTAGAGCACATGAAAATCAGTGACTAAGGATTTCCTTCCTGCTTTCAAAGTTTTGCTGTCCTCTAAATATATAGCAAGCGTGGGTATGGCTTAGGGGACAGAGAAGACAAAGGTAGGTGCTCTGGCCAGAGCCATATATGGTGTTTAGATACTATAGCTTACATTACAGAAGATAGGTATGTTTGACAGAAGAGAGGGAACTAAGGTCCTGGAAACAACTTTGAAAAGGAGGTGAAAATATCAGCATTTATAGAAAAGCTGCAGATGATTCTTAAGGCTGTTTCTTCCATGTGTATATATAGTTCCATCAACAAAGAAAAGAGGTATGTGCATGGAGAAAAATACCACTCACTCAATTTTTTTAAAAGTCCACTAACTCTAAGTGAGACAGTATGGTTTTGGTTAATGACAAATTCATTCTTAAACTTAAATTCTTCAAGATTCTTAATGTAAACAGAACAAATTTAGTGGAGTTATATCAGAAATGCATTTGGCCTAGGCTGTTTACTGGAAAATGATTAAAGTCCCAACTACAGAAATACTGGTACTCAAAACTTCAGTATAAACAGCCCAGTGAATACACACACACGTTCTAGGAGACTTAGATGTTTGGATAGTAAAAATAACAATATAGTGGCAATCGCTCTAAGGGATCAGATGGAAGATGAAACACGACAGGAGTCTTACATGAAATTTCATGTTACTGGTTTTATGGCCATGCATTTGGTGGTCATTCTGTGTCTCACTCTATGTCAGGGGTGTCAAACTCATTTGGCTTCATGGGCTGGTGTGCAGCTGGTCCACAGGCTGGATTAGGCCCACAGACCCCTGCCCATGTGCCTGATCCAGCGCATGCAGCACCTGCCCAAGCCAGTCCAGGATGCTGGCCTAAGAGAGCAGCATGTGTGATGCAGCCAGGGACCAGCCCCAGTGAATGTGGTGCAAGGCTAGATGGTGCAGTGTGAGAGTCAATGAGGCAGCACCAGGGACTGGATTATGGGGCTCTGCAGTCTGGATTCAGCCCATGGGCCATAGGTCTGACACTCCTGCTCTATGGGAATAGAAGGTTCAAACAGTATGTAACAAAAAAGGAAGGGAAAAAAGAATGAAGAGAAGGAGGGAACATCTCTAAAATTAGGCATGAGAAAGATTATGAAAAACACCCTTAAATACTGTCATAGTGGTATCGACCAGTAGAATACATCACTTTGCTTGTATCTATACTGCTTCCACACCAGTGGTCACACACAACTGTTACTATCATTTAAAAATCCACTAAGGGAGGCATTAAGAGTTTTTTTTTATTTTTGGCTGCACACGAATCTGCAGCTACACACACATGCATACCTACATACAATAACTGCTTATTACTCTACATCTACATCATTACAAAGTTTCTTAGTCACTTGAATCACCTTCTGCAATTGATTGGATTCTGGACTAGGATCAAAATGTAAACCCAAGCTAGGAATCAGTAAATTACTTTATTATCTGTTTATAATAGCAAAGCAAACAATAACCCAAAGAGAATGGGGCTTTCAAATATTTCTGGCAATAACTCAGGAATTCCTAGCCTACTTAGCTAAAAAATAAAGACCCTCCCCCAGAGTTCAAATTCCCCTGGTATTATGAGCTGGCCCCTAACAGACATATTTTTTCAGTCAACGTATATGCATTTGTGTATTACTGAAGGGCCCTAGAAATAGCCCTCCTGGATTACGACCTGTGTACTTCTATATCCTGTCTGTAATTGCAATCAGTACATACAACATGTGATGGAGGAAGGCACAACAACCACCATAACCAACAATGATGTCATAATATGTAATAGGGGAAGTTTCTTCCTCATCCCCAGTCAGCCATTGGGTTATGTTCTGAAGCTGGATATTCTAATATTGTATCTATCTTATGTAATGTTGGTGTGCATAGTCATTTATCTAAAGGTGTAACCTTTTCCTGAATCCTACTAAGCTTTTCATACTGTCTCCACTGCAATGACTGCGAAGTAGCACACACATGATCAACTAGCTATCAGTGGAACTCGTAGCTGCCTAGCTGCAGCAGTGTGGAGCTCATCATAGGCTGCAAAACCTGTCTGAAAGGCAAGGCAAATTAATCCACACTGAGCTCTAAACCAGTATCAGTGTCCCACAGAAGCACTGAGCTAGCTCAGATATGTCTACTGTACACTACTGCCACTGTTGACTGCTAGGTACATGCTCACTTAGTCTCTAGGATAGGGGTGACCAACTCAAGGCATACGTGCCACAAGTGGTACATGCAACATGTTGTTTGGCATATGGCAGATCCCACAGGGAGCAGGGAGAACAGCACAAATAAGGCAGGAAGGAGAAGGCAGAGCAAGGGAGCAGGCAGGGGAAAGGAATCAGAGCATCACTCAGAGAAGGAGCAAGACTTATTTTGTGCCACACCAGCCAAGGAGGTTGGCCCGCAATGCTCTGAGATGGAGGTGTCCAGCTTCTAAGTAGCCAGGGGCTGCACACTCCTCAGGCTACACTAGTAGGGACTGCTCCAACAGCCCCTACAACCAAAGGTCAAAAGCCCTGGGGCCCACATGCCCCCTCCCTCCCCCACTGCACCATACACCTCGGTATGCCCCTGCTGCACCTGTGTCCCCTGCAAACCTGCTTATTGTTTACATAGGAAGACATTTTTATTTGTATTGCTAAGTTCTCTGAAAAGAGATTCATACCTAGTATCTCTGCAGCCTCCAAGTGCCGCTCAGGGTGCATTTGCGCCGTGAAAGCAAACACTGCTGGGGATGTGAGCACCACCGAAAGTCCATGCGGCTGGAGAAAAACCAAAACATAGTGCATGGTATTAACTGGGTGTCTTAACACTGCTGCAATCAGCTGGAGAGGCTGACAGGTTTTCAGGCTTGTTAACATAAGAGTCATGTAACTGTAGCAATAGGAAAATAACCTGATTTTACCACTAGAGAATGATCCACGTTATAATCCTTTGCTTTGTAATTCTTCACCAAGCCAGAAATAGGGTAAGACATTCCATGGCTGGAAATTAAAGTAGAAAGGAAGTAGTTAGAGCACCAGCCCAAGACATAGGAGCCATGCAGGGGTGGATCCAGTAGGGGTGCAATGGTGCACTTGCACCCTGTTTTCACTCCCGGTCCATCCGAAGTTTAAAACCAACTGCCTAGTGGTAGCAGCTGCACTTCTATTCAGGCAGCAATGAGGAAATCAATTGACTTAATATTAGAATTTGCTTGATTCCTTCTAAACTCTTTATTCACAGGTGTTAATAACCCTCTTTCCTTGTAAATGGTTTTTATTGGCTCTACTATTCCAGCTATCCTTACTTCTGCAATGCTGCTGTCTGTTAGCTGCTCCTAGAAAGGTAGCTCCCATTTCATAGCCCTGCAGACCTTTTTATCTCTAGCCAAAAACATTAACTCAGGTGTGGAAATATTAACTCAGGCAAACATTACCCCAGGTATGGAAATCACTTTCAGTAAAGAATTGGAGGCACTGGCCAATTGCTCAAAAAGGCTTGATTTTATTTTATGAATCTGAAAAAAGAGATGTACATTTAACTTTAAGGACTCTAGGACTAATGAAACACCATCTTTGGGTTATTTTTTCCCTAGTTTGCTGTGTTTTATATATATGATACAGCAAATCAATGCACATTCAAATAAAAAAAATTTTTGCTTCAATCTTAAGTTGAATAGTATAGCTCTAGGCCCCTACTTATTAATAAAGCTTCTAGTTTCTTTTTAACTGGAGAAAAATGTGTTTTGTTTTGTATGTGATGATGCACCACACCATCTGCACCCCACTTTTTAAAATCCTAGATCTGCCCATGGAGCCATGGGTCAATTCCTTGGATCTCCCAGGCTTCCCATGTGCAAGTGAAAGACATTTAGGTTCCCTTTGATTTCAATGAAACTGAATTCCATGAAAATTATATGCTTACATACCATGGATAATTCATGGAGCCACAGCCACTGTGTAACTCAGGTCCCATTGAAAAAACAGATAATGGCATTTCCCAATCTAGAAGGGGAACTGTGAGGATGAAGGAACTATATAATTTTTGAGGCATTCAGATACTATGGTAACAGGGGCAGATAGGGTACCTTAAATAGTCAATGCCCTTATTTTGATCATAGTTCCTGATTATAAAAAGCATTTGAAAGATTAGGAAATGTGATGGCAGTGATTCTTACTTGATCAAGCTACAGGCATACAATAATGTTTTTGCATAATTTTTGGCACAGGCTCTGATTCAGCGAGGTAATTGATCACGTACATAATTTTAAACATGGCAGCAGCCCCAGGGACATCAATGGCAATGCTCATATGCAGTTGTGTAGCTAAGGTGGGGCAATCTGGGCAGCAGCCCCAGGCACCAACTTTTTGGGGTGGGAAGAGTTGAAAGATAATAGTTGCTGCTGTAGCTGTACCACTATGCCAGCAGCACTGGCAGCTGGAAGTTGCCACTGCTCCTGTGTGTAAGCTACTCCCTGTGTACCCAACTGCCCTGTTATACCCCTGCTCACAAGTACTTTGCTGAACTGAATGCCATCAAGTCATAAGTTAGTTTGAATGGTTACTACTTAAATCTTTATCAGTATATCCCTTAATGTGTAACTATAGCTCAGTTTAGCCTGTAAAACAATTAACCCAGTCAGTGTGTCTGGCCTTACTTCAAGAACGATACAAGAAGCACCTAAACAGTGCCCACACCGGCTCTGACACATGCTAATTAGCATACTCCAGCAGCATTGATGTCATGTATATTCAGTGTCCCCACGCAGCAGGGTCACTTTAATTAAAGCTTGTTGAATGAGCTTTAGCTAAAGTGCTCCTGCTGCCATTTTGAAGTGCAGGACACCGAATACACAAGATGCTGTGTGCACTTTAATTAGAGTGGTTCCTGAGAACCACTTTAATTGAAGCGCCCTCCCCTCCCCCCTAGAGCACATGTAAAGAAGCCCAAGATGTTCTTTATATGGACATACTCACTTTGTTCTCATAGGGCTGCATAAGGCTGCTGAACAACTAGAATGGAACTATGCTGCTTTAACTGACATTTGAGTTTCTTAATAGCCATGGCCGCTGCAAATAAGCAAAGTAAAGTAGGCCAAATTCTGGTCCTAGCAACTTTCCTGGAATCAGACTCTGTTGTTACAGGACCAGAGTTTGCTTTCCTCATACACCAGGGGTGGGCAAAATATGGCCCACGGGCTGGATCCAGCCCACCAAGCACTTCCCTCCGGCCCATGGAGCCCCTTCAAAACCCA